ATGATGATGAAAGTAATTTGGGATTTCCTTGGTTATATTTAATTTATGAACGATAATGTTTGCAAAGCAAGCGTGAAATATATCAAAACCTAAGTTAAGCGAGGTCATTATTAGTGTTCCTTTGGTAAACTAATTTAAAAGCAGATTTTAGCACTTTGAAATCACTTTTAACCAAATTGTCGCTAAACTATATCTATAATTTAAACTATAGTTTAGAAGTCAAATTACTACAGCAAAAGAAAATGAATATTTTTATGATACATGTCTTCTAACAAAACCCTTGTAGTTTTAGTATAAGACAAAAATAGACTGAGTTGAACCTTCAAACGTCCCAAATCACTGAATGCTATGAATTTTTCATCAACATTTCAGGTCGTTCAATTGTCATTTTCATGAGTTCTTCAGCAGAAAGTTCAATGTAGATTGTACATGCGAGATTCCTTGATCCTAAAAAAATTTAAACAAATTACATGAATAGTGTAAACAGCTATGAAGATCACAAATATTATACTTTTACACCTTAACTATCTCCCTGGTAAGCAGCTTCCCTGACCATACGCTAAATGCATAACAGCTTAATTCACATCCCAGTATGTTGCAGCTGTAGGCGAAACAAGATTGAAATAAAAGTTTTTACCACAAAAATAACATAGCTCAGCGCTAAAATGATTAATTAGAGCTATTTGGCGATTAACTCAGTTTTACTTTTCGAGTCCAAAATTTTCTCAAAATTGGCACGAAAATTGTAATTAGAGCTACTTTGCAAGAAGTCATGCAAAAACTACAATTTTTTTCCGTGTTTTAGAGATAACAGAAAGAGTTCGCATTTTAGGCATGTCAGCCATTTTGCAATTCCTATTGGTTGGAGTACAGAATGAATCAAATACGCATACATAGAAAGAAGCGCCCTCTTTAAGTTTTTTGCCAGAAGTGCGGAATATGGCTGAAAATTATATGAATAGTATAAATCGATACGGAGATATCGAATATTGCATTTTCACGCCTTAATTTCCTCCGTGTCATGTACCTCTTCCGGCCATATGTGATCACTTTCTTGTTCGACAGAATCAATACGAAAAACTGTTCCGACAGCAAATAAAGTTTCTTCCTCATCTGACATTGTACTAAATTCTGAAATATTAGCAAATGGCCTACGCTCATTGGTATAATGAGTTCCAGTATTGATTACGAATAGAACTCCAGTCGGATCTGAAGAAATATACATGCGAGCAACCTTTAGATCACGTGTTGTTGACATAAATGTATTTATTGAAATAAGATGTCCAATATTAGCTTTCGATTCTTCTAAATCATTTTCTTTCATGGCTTGTCCTCGATAAAGTATTAAATTTCTTTCTTCTTGTTGTTCTAACGATAAGTCTCCTACTTTTTTATATAAAAAAATAATAAAATATTAAAATTTGCAAATTAAATCAATATTTCGTGTACGAAATGTTTTATTTAAAAGTCGATACATAAACGAATTACATGTATACCAACGAAATACGTCATCAGGAGTGAAATTCTGATTAAAATCATCGATTTTGCCCAATACAATTGAATTTGTTCTATATTCTGATTGACATTGTTTAATTAGATTTTCTTTTAATTGAATCAGATTTGTCGATGTAGAATTTACTAAATAATAAATAAATAAATGACTCCAACAAAATAACATTGCATTTCTACCCAAAGTCATTAGAGATTGTTCATTATTTATTTCTTTTAAATAAGAAATAGTCATTGGTAAATCATGCCGATATGTCAGTAGAATATCCCGACGTAATGCAACAATTAATTCACGTTCATTTGAATAAATATTAACTACTTTTGAATGTGTTGTTCTATCATCATGCATCATTTGAAAATTTTTACTCAGAATATAAATTCCTTGTATTTGATGATAATCGTTGAACAGTGAGGAGATTTGAAAATCTTCGATGACAAGTAAGATTTTTCTTTCACTTTCAACGCTTGTTATAAAACTGATACATTCATCTAATGTATCGAATTTTTTTAAATATTCGCCTAAATTCTGTAATTCAGTTGAACTATTGTTTGTACAAAACCAAGCAATTTTAAAATCATCATGATTTTGTCTGTCGTTTAATCTTGTTGATGATAAATTAAAATCATCCATTGTATTTCATACGATACTTCTCTTAAAATATACGAGTAAATTTCACTTGAGAAAGAAGAAGATCTTGTCTGTATATTCAGCCTGTACTACTAAGATATTGTGTCTGAACCGCAACACCATCAGACATGGGATGATCTTAGGCAAATGGCTAACGATCGATTGCCTCGAATCACCAGAACGATAGTATGCTAGCTATATATGACATTTACTTCAAAAAATTTCGCAGATAGCATAACAATCACACTATGTTCCACAATCTTCTTCTACCACAACAACGGCATCAGCATATTTATCATCCAAAGACGATGAAAATTCAGGTGCTTTAGAAGATGACGTCGATTATTTTTTAAAACAGACTAGATCAACATTCAGCAGTATTAGAGATATAACAGCACCACAGCAGATTCAGTTAGTGCATGGTAAGTTGATTCAGAATGCTGCTAAGTGGCTCGATACGAATGAATCTACTTTTACCGATTGGTCAACATTTGAAAATGCAATTAAGAACAGATATACATCTTTATTTAAAAAACAAGGAAAATTCAGTACACTAAAAGGAAGAAAACAGACACGTGGTGAATCAACAATTGATTATTACGATAACGTGAGAGAATTATGTTTAGATATCGATTCAGCCATGAGTGAACCGACGATGATTCAACATATCATGAGTGGCTTAGATCCAGAAATAAAAATTGAATCACTACGAGTTGAAAATGAATTAAAAACATTAAAAGAATTCGAAAAAGTCTTAAAAAGAGAACAGGATATTGTAGAAATGAAAGAAAGAATGAAATCTCTTTTAGGACAACAACAATAAATTTCTTTTAGCTATCAACAACCTATCGAAGTAACAGCAACAGTAAATGATAACAAATATTGTCATCCAAATTCTTCTCAGCAATGAACAATATCATCTTCGAATATTCAATCATCTTCTCATCAATCTTTGTTATCACGACAGAAACAACAATAGTATCCTTCAAACAACTCGGATTCATTCGCACCATGTCGTGTCTGCCGGAAAACCAATTATCGAACAAGCGAATGTAAATATAAACGGTCTTCAGGATGTTACAACTGCGGCGGAAAACACAGTGTCCGTAGTTGCCAACAGCCTCTCCGTTTCTAGATTCTGGGTCCGGTGTTGGCGGCCAACCCAGCAAATTTCTAAATCCATCATCTTCTTCGACTTCAATTGGCACGTCACCCATCTACATCAAATGCAAACTCACCGGCATCCCAATGAAATCTCTCGTAGACACCGGATCCGCCTTCACTATCGTCAACCAAAATCTTCTCAGGAAAATTCGACATAATAAAATCGTACATCGCCAACACTCTTTCTCTACAGTCAACAATTCTCCCCTTAACATCATCGGATTCATTTTACTGCAAATTCAAATTGAAAACATCAAGACAACTGTAAATGCGGCTGTATCAACAAATTTGGTAACTCCTTTTCTTTTGGGCAGTGATTGGTTACTTGGAAATAAAGTACATTATTAACTGATAAATAATTATAAACTCTTACTGATAAAAATGGCAATCGTATTGAAACCTCATTCATTGAACCACCGAAAACCGAATACCCAGTCTATTCATTGAATGATATTACCATCTCTGCACAATCTGAACGAATAATAGACGTCAAATTACAGCTAACTAATGGAAATGACGTAATATTTCAACCAAATCCTCAATTTCAATCAAAATTCTTGTACATGCCGAATTCTCTCATTAATGTTATTGACAACAAATTTCAAATAATAATTATAAATGCTCACGATCATCGGCAAACTTTAGGCAAAAATACAAAGTTAGGTAACAGTAACATTAGAACGAACACCAGAAGTATGTTAAATTATGAATCAAACAGAATCGAATGTTGGAATCGTCCTGACGGACGATTCGATCTCTTCGGAGACAGGAAAATATCTATCTTCCTGTATCGTTCGTAAGAACAATTTGGTCTGTAAACCTGACGATGTAAGATTGAAAATAAATTCATTAATTTAACATATTACAGATGATTAACAACGGAAAAAAGTTAAAAATATCTTTGTGGGAAAATAAAGAACTCTTCGATATTACACCTTCCATTGTCAACGTCGAACCACAATCCACAATAAAAAGCGGTGATCACGTACCGATATTTTCAAAGCAGTTTCCATCATCCGAACAAGGTCATCGATTTAAATCAGAAGAGACTATGAAATTATTAAAACAAGACAGGATTGAACCATCAAATTCACCGTGGTCTTCTCCTATATTGTCACTCAAAAAACAGGATAAATCCCTCAGATTTTGTATAGACCTCAGAAGAATTAATGAAATAACAATAAAAGATAAATATCCAATGCCAATCACCTACGATATATTCGATCAGATGTCGAATGCAGCATATTTTAGCAAAATTGATTTCAAATCTGTTTATTTTGAAATTCTGTTAGTAAAATCTGAACGACCAAAGACGGCATTTTCAACACGAGATGGACGTTACCAATTTTGTGTTCTTCCACAAGGTGTTTCCAATGGAACACCCGTTTTTCAGCGAATAATCAACAACATTCTTGGTCCTGCTAAATGGAAATACACCCTGGCCTTCCTTGATGATATTATCATATACAACAATTCATTTGATCAAAACATAGAACATTTATCACATATCTTATCATTATTGAGAGATGCAAGAATTAGATTGAACATCGAAAAGAGTGAATTTGTAAAAACAAAAATGAATTACTTAGGACATCACATTGAACACGGTATAATACGACCAAATGAAGAGAAAATTCGTTGACTGAGAAATTCACCATTACCAACAACAGCAGAACAAGGGACCAAATTCATTAAGGCAGCCGAATATTATAGGAAGTTCATTCCACATTTCTCACAAATCGCCGAACCTCTTCGAAAATACGTACCAACATCCACCAGTGGAAAAGAGGATATAAAACAACAAAAATTAAATTAAGTAAGGTCGAAATAATTGCATTTAATAAAATAACATAAATTCTAACGTCTGTACTTGTTTTATGAATTCCAAACAACAAATTTAAATTCAGATTGGAAACGGATGCTTCGATAGAAGGTATAGGAGCAGTTCTACTACAGAAATTCCGAGATAACTACCACCTAGTGGCATATCTATCACAGAAATTAACATCTGCACAAGAAAAGTGGACAACCAAAGAACAGGAATTATATGCCTTCATTAAATCATTCATTAAAAATGGTACATATATTTACCTGGCAAATACTTTGAATGGCTCACCGATCACCGAAAGAGATGTTTGAGATAGCTAATGAAAATACAAGAGTACCAATTTGAAGTAAAACATACAGCGGGGAGAAATAATCAAATGGCGGATTATCTATCTAGATCACCAGTGGACTCAGCGGAAGAAGATGCATATGATATAAACAGGTGTTTTTCGTTATCTACCACTCTCTGGTACATTACTGTTTATTGGATTTAAAAAACAGGCACAACTATGACTATATTAAAAACTGGTTTGGTAAAAGATACTATGAGGATATAAAGAAATAAAATCGAAAACAAGATCAACAGAAGCAGTAATAGAAAACCAAGAACAAAATTTGAAATAGACACTTCAGTGTGCTCTAAATCCATTAAAAATAATAAAATAAAATAACTTTGTTCTTAGTTTTTTCATTATACTTTATCGTTTGATTTACTTTCTTAAACTGTGTTATTATTTTGAAAGGCGTTATCCAAAACTGAAACTTCATTTCTTTCTCTTTCATCATCTCAAATCAAATGTAGCTAAAACACATTTTTTTCTCAAAGGAAGGTGTCTGTTACAGGCATGTATGCCTTCACATGCTCCTTCGCCTCTTCTTCTCTCTTTTCATTCTTATTTTCTTTCGTTCTCTTCTACTATTTATCGAGTTATTTCAGTTCGTACATTAGATAGTCACACATACACACAAAGCTTCTTTTCTATGCTTTTGCTCTGCCTTCTCTCTCTATGTACACACACATATATATAGTATGTGTGTACAGTGGTTTAGTTCAGTTTAGTTAGTGGTCTTTTTCCGTCGACATGTCCTTCTTTTTTGTCTCCATTTTCGTCTTGTTGGATATTTACATTCAATATACACACGTTTATCATCGCTTGAAGTGGGCATAGAGATATATCGTTATCAAAGGTGAAATATATTAAAATGCAACGAAAAAGAAGAGTAATTTATAGACGTAGTAGACACAGACATACAAATCAGGAACACATAGAGAAGTTGCGTTAGAATTATTTTATTTCTATTATCTCCGGATCAAAATTACAACAGTGGTATAAAGTCATACACTATCGCAGATTACCGTAGTAACACTAAATTGTGGTGATTGACAGCAAATCAAAGAAGAAGTTGTGCGAAAAAGTTATTTGAAAAATAGTTACTAGCTTTTTTTAGATCTAGAAGTTCTATTTGGCAAATCAAAACAATGCCAACACATTAATTGAAGCAATGGGATTTTGAAGGATCAAATGCTTCGAGCAAGTGCCACTTTTGGTCCTCGAACTTTAAACCTGACATCAGATACAGAATGCAATTCTCTACAAACTGAGTCGAAAAAGTTTATTTTAAAACTGGTGCAAAAGTTTTAAACTTGAGAGCAAGATGGCCGTCTTCTAATATTTTTTCAGTTTTTTGACACTTTTGGTATTGGAACATAAGTTTAAAACAAAAATAACGCGAAAAACCTTTTGTCACGTTTTCGACTATTTATGTTCAGTTTCAGAGTAAATTTTCATAAAACTTTTTATATCTTTAAAAATTTTTGGAAGTGCATCATCTGCTGCAGTTTTCGACGCTGATTCCGAATATCCCGTTATTTTTGTTTTAAACTTATGTTCCAATACCAAAAGTGTGAAAAAACTGAAAACATATTACCCTAGTCGACCGATCTTACTGCAATTCTATAGAAATCTTATAAGAATCTTATATAAGGCAGTCGATGGAAATGCGTAATTTATTGATAAGATTCTTATAAGAAGGAATATAAGAATCTTATAAGATTCTGATAAGAATTCGGTAAGATAGATTATATAATTATTTTATAAGAATTCATAAGATTTTGGTAAGAATTCATAAGATTCTGATAAGAATCTTATAGGAAGGGTATAGTACAATTTCATCACATTCTTTAGTGATCAGTACTCTATATTCTACTTTCTTACTATAATCTACTGTTTCATACGTGAATAA